CTGCTGAACTGCAGATCGCCCGTCAGTTTCAGAAAAAATTTGTTTGTGTCTACATCACTAATTTTATATTTTAATTAAGCCAAAGAAATCTGCAAAGAAGCGGGAGCCAATTCAAGCCAGCACAGCAGGAGAGGCAATTGAAAAGATGTTAGAACAGAAGAAAATCTCAAGTAAAATTAATTATAATGTGCTAAGGGACCTGAACAGCAAAGGAAGTAACACACCAAAGAAGGAGGATGACAGCACTGATGACAGCACCAGCACCAAGAAACTGTCAAGAAGAAAATCTATTGCCAGTAGGAATATAGCCAACCCTGTAAACAGTGTGGGAAAAAGGTACTGCAATTGTTCATTTATATCTCTGTCTGTGAGACTGTCTGTGTATCTTTCTGAGCCAGACAACATAGGTATGGAAACATTTGTTTGAGGCTAAAATAATGTTGGGGCTCTGTTTTTATTTATTTTGCCTGCAGCGCTGCAGTGGAACCTTATTTATAGTTCACAGATGAGAGGGCTGTTTTGGTGTGAGTTAAATCACCGTGAAGCAAAAAAAAAAAAAAAAAACAGTGGAAATTCATAAATGTGAATCTTTCAGCCATGGACACCTTTTCTTCATATATCCGTGACATTTACGGTCCTTCTTTTCTAAGTTGTCTATATTCACTGACATGACACTAAATGTTCTAAAGCTTTGGCTTTTTGCTTGATTTGAAAAAGAGTTCCCATCTGTTTTGACAGCTAACTGTTTTGATTAGCTTTTAGTTTAGTTTTATTTCAAACTTTTTTTGTTAATTGATGACACAAATATAAAGCTGTACAGTAAATAGGCTTGTCGCTTTTCTCATCTGCATTTGCAAGTGTTTTATAGTGTGATGAAAGCTACTATTTTAATGAGTAAAATATTCAGCCGTGCTGGGCAGATTTGTAGTGTGAGAGAAGTGTATAAGGAGATTGATGTGTGCTATCTGCAAAATTCAACTGTTTTATTAGTCTTCTGTTTATGAAATCACATCAGATGATCATTTGAACAGCCTCTATATATAGTAATTTCTTATTTGGATGTTATATAATTATTTATTGCCTAAAAGACATTTTTTTTTTTTTTTTGCTTCCAGAAGTGTAGGCCCTATGCCACAAGGAAATTTAAGCCTTTAATTCTGAAATGATAGATGGTGTCTCTGCGTCGTAGTTTAGATTTAGGCATGTATCCCAACAGAAAGCGTCGTCTGAAGGACAGGGGAGGGAGGAAGGGAAGGAGAGCGGGGTTTTTGAGTGGGATGGTGGAGCGGGGTACGTGTGCACGTGTGTGTGCGCGTTGCTCGTGAAAACTAGCTTGAGGCCGCGCGATGAGAGGTGACAGATGGGACCAGCGGGAGTGAGAAGCCGCAGTCTGCAGGGTCAGACGCAGCGCGGGTGAAATTCCCAAGGCGTCAACATCGAGGGCTGAGGAAGGAAGGAGAGGAGCAGCCTCGTCCTTGCAAAACACCTGGGTGCCGTGGCATTTCCCACAGCAGCAGGAAAGACAGGGAGCTGCTCTTCCTGGTGGTGCCTCGCGGTTGCCCTTTTTCATCCTGAACGAAGCAGGTTTTTGGGGGGTGACTGACAGTGAGCCGCAGGGTGTGAAAGATCCTATTCATGCCAGAACGGGAGGCACAGGATACCTGAAGCGGGGAGGTCAGGAGGGATAGTAAGTACATGCCCCTCAGAAGCTCAGCAAAGTAAGCATGATTAGAGAATAAAAGCTTATTTTGTCTTGATTTGAAGCATTCTAAGCCAAAACTGAAGACTACTCGTGTAGCCTTAGTATCACTGGGACACAGATTGTCGTACTGTAACAAACATTTTTTTCCCCATTCTTTCTTTCTTCTGTGTTTTACCTTCATTCAACTTCTCACCCTTAGTATCAACAACTTTTCTTTCCTGTTCTTTGCTCACTGAGGATTTTACTCTCCTATATAAGTTTCTACTTATGGTCATGTGTAATGACCCAAGCACACACGTTTTCCAGTAGTGAAGGAAAGCGAAGATGCATTTAGGATTAACTACCAGCACTTAACGTATGTGTTAACTTGGATTTAACAGCTATTAATAAGTCATATTTCTGGTATTTATAGTAAAATAAGGCTCTGATTGCGTTGTCAGAAATGAAACGGTGTGATGGGAAGTAGTGTGATGGGAGGCAGGGGCCTTGTGAGTGTCCTGCTTGCATTTAGCTGTAACAGTGACATTCTAGCTGCTTTGCCACATCTCCGCCCGGTCTTTTTGAGGCCTCATTTTCAGAAATGTTGGGCACTTGGAGCTCCTTTTGAAGTCAGCATGTTAAACTCTTAACAGGTGTTAAACTCTTTTGAAAATCACGCCATAAATATTTAATTTAACAGTGGTGCAACTTGAAAAGGTTTCTGAATAAATACAAATCTGTATTTTCCAAAAGCAGGTAATAAAGGATGTTTATTTTTCCCCTTGAGAGTCTAAAGTACGTCCTTAAGATGCATGACAAGAGTTTTCTGATGATGATTAGCAGATCTCAGATACAATAAATTTTGCAGCAAGACTCTTCAGAGAAGATTAGGGATACATGAAGATACATGAGTTAAGAAGATTTTGCACTCCAGAAATAGGCAGTGTTCTTGCTTAAATAATATCAAGGACCTGGCAAACCATTAGTGGGTTTCTTTTTGCTTACAATTAAAGATTTATGACATACTTTTGATTTTTTTTGCTGGTAGTCTAAATGCCATGCCTTTTAAATGGCATGCATAAATTTTTGTGTTCAGCGCTGTTCTTGTATGCCGTGCATTCATTTCCTTTGTTCAGCATTGTTCTTCTGAGAGGTGGATGGCTAAATACTTTTCCAGTGATACAAAAACCATGGTAATTTATATGCAATTAATAATAACGCCAACCCTGAACATTGCTCATTAGAAAATGAATGAAGCACATAATGTATCTATATTCAGGAGGCACTTGCAGAGATCTTGCTAACCGTTTTGGTTTGTAGTGAATTACAATCATGCATGTTTATCTTTATATGTCTTAAATATTTAGTAAGCTATATTTGACTGCAATAGCACCTTGCTTTAATCCAGTCCTTCAGTTCAGCTGAATTATAGTCAGGTTTTAAAGAGCTACTGTTTCAGTCCTGGTTCCAATTAAAAGGTACCGATACGAAGCTATTAGGCGCTTGACAGACTAGGAAAGGAGTGCTGATTCTTGGTGATTAAAGCAGAGACAAAACAGTAGTATATTTGTAGAGAGAGATGTTTATTGCTTTCCATTTGTAAGCTGATATTTTCCATATCCCACTTGGTTTGATCTAATACTGTAGCTAAGTTTGTCATGTGTCCCAGAAATCGTCTTCATATCCCATATGTAGTGCGCTGGAAATAGGTAGCTGATCTTCATCACCATCTTTCCCTTGCTATCATCTTTGGTGCACTGTTATTTCTGGGGGAGGGATCTGGATTATCTTTAAAGAAAGAGATTGTCCCATCCAGATGTGATGTAATTTCTGGGTGATTTCTCTTTTTTAAGATTGCAGAAAGTAGCAGCTAGAGTAGTAATCAGTTACCTTACTGGGAAAAAAACTTTTGTTTACTGATGTTATAATGAGAAGCAAATTTTGAGGTTTTGGAAAAAGTTCCCAGAATTATCCTGTACTTAATGCATCTGTCAACATGGTAGGAAACTGGTAAAGGCACTAAGTAATTTTAAGAAAACTTATTTTGTATGAATAGATTTCATTACTTTTCTTACTGCCTTTTTTTTTTTGGTTCTAGTGGGTATCAAGATTGGTGCTTCATCAGAAAAAATCATTTCATTCTCTATGTATTACAGAGATGTGGCACAGTGGATGTTACCGTAATAGATGTTGCAACTTTAATTTCAGTTACCAATTGCACAGTTTATCTTCACTAATGTCTTCTGTGCATATGAAACAGGTGTCATATAAGTATAATTTGTTGAACTCCTAGAAAATAATAATTGCCCCTTTGAGCTACTAGAACAAAGTCATCCTCTTGAGTTCTTCAAGTTCCATAAAGAGGGGATTTAGATCTGGAAGCTTTTGATTAGACGCTTAATAATTTATTTTATATTTACTTGACCTTAATTTTATAACGTTACTCGTGAAGTGAAATCTGTTGTATCGAGAAAAAGTTGGAACAAAAAAACCTTTCAAGTCACTACTTTAAAAAAATGTTAAGCCTGTTTATTGCTATGTACTTGAAATTGGTAATGGCATCAGAGAGGACAGGATAGATTATCAGGGGAATAAATGTGTCAGGTTAATCTCCTGAAGAACTTGCCTTGGAAGAAATGAAGGAGGACTGCAAAGCACAGCTGAATCCGTTGTAATAAAACAACGTTATTCTGAGTGGAAGCATATGAATATATAATAGAAAAGCAAATCATGCTTGCTGTGAATATGACAAAAGCCTTTGGTAGAGTTTTCAAATTTGATTAGATTTCGAAATGCACCTTGAAATTCTCTCCATGGTCTCACGTGCATTTATCGACTGACCATTTTGCTGGTGAATGCTAACCATTAGCAGTACGGCTCCACGTGTGCCTGAGTCACAAGGTCTGGATATTGCTAATTGTGCATCCGAAGCACTAGGGACTTGTTCCACTCTTCAAGTTCCTGGCTTCGGAAGGACACTTGAAATTAGCATCTGCTCCAGCTAAGTTTTTCTTGTCTTTTCAAGTGGTCTTATGATGCCAGAAAATTCCCCTTTATCATTAGAGAGAGCCTATGTAATACTGCATGTCCTACTTTCTACTCTGTCAGGTAGACGTTTATTATGATCTGACTGGTTTTGCCAGCTTATTTTCAGTAAAGTTATGTCAAAGAAAGACAGTCAGCACCTACGGGCTGCTTTGTGCCGTCGGGTGTTTTGCAGCCTGACAACATAGGTGCGAGAGTGAGAGGGCCCAAAATGCTCTTTACCTTTTCCAGCCTGAAAACTTTCTCTTCAGATGCATTTCTTGATAAGTGTGAACGCCTAGCAGAATCTGTATCTTTGTTTCCCCGGCAAAGAAGAAGGGAAGAAGGCCCAAAACACGTGTTCCCTTCGCATCTAGGATCACTGATAATTATCAACCCTTTATTTTTTTTGGTTTACTGTTTAGAGAGGTAGAACTGCTGTGCTGCGTGACGTGCCGTTTCACTGCTGGACTTCACTAACTCAGCTGGGAGTCAGAATGTCCATAATGCTTGTGCTGCATTTACCATGGCTTGCAATTCGTTTTTGTAAGTCCAAAGCAAACAGGGTTTTGCTTTGAATATGCAATATTTTTATTTTATTTTACATTATGAGACTGGTATTTCTAGAGGG